TGAAGAAATATTATATAGTAATTAATAGAGTAAATTACACGGATAATCCCTGTGGTTTGGGGTAATTTGCATGTTTGGTCCCTAAGTTTTTTTTTCCTTTTTAACTCGGACAGTCGTAACATAAAAAGACAATTTTTGCCCTTAATAATTTATTTATCCTTTTTATATTATTAATCTATTAAAAAGATATTAATTAATAAATAAAAGCAAAAGAATCCTCTTCCACCATCACCACCAATATCAGCCATGTACATCACCATCTGTGGCCAATATCTCCAGCAACCAGAAAATATCCCATCCCGTGGACCCCCAACAACCACCTTCTATCAGCAACTACCACACCAGTCACAATAATGAAAACTTATGAATCAAATCCAGAAAATCAAGAAATATCAGATCTGCAAACACCCAAATTGATTGGCTTTGCTTCGTTCTGAGAAATCGATTTTCAGACCATTGACTTGCGACATTGGTTTCATATTGAGGTAAAGAGATTGAAGTAAAGTTGAAGGGGTTTTCCGAGTTCCCATATCTCTGAGAACCACCACCAATGTTAGGTACAGAACCAAAAATAAAGAAACAAGAAAGATGTGCTATTTGAGACCAACACTCTTTCTCTTTCTCTTTATCTCTACGCCTATCCCTGTCTCTCTCTTCAAATCTTCCTCTTTCTTCAAACAATCGTCCTTCTTGCACTAAGATTTATGCTTCGACCCTTGCATTGCATATCTTAGTTTTTACTCTAGCGAACCTACTTGTTTCGAGTCTAAAAAACTTGGATCCCTAATTTCTTTCGATTTTGTTTACCTCAAGAGCAGAACTTGAGTTTCAATCAACTATTCGAATCCTCCTTCTTACTTCTTTTTTCCTGCCATTCTTCAACTGTTCAATCAACCTGATCAACCGACGTTGAAGGCACCCACCGGTGGTGGGTGGGTCGAAGGGGTTTTCCGACATTGATTTTCAAATCGATTTACATACAGAAGGTGTGGCGACGGCTAGCGACTTTGTACTCGTCGGGGATGTTGCAGATAGAAGGCACCAGTGGGTTGAAGATGGAGGGGAGAGGCGGAGATTGATATGGGTGGAAGTGGAGACGTGTGAGATGAAGTGAAACGAGTAGGTTTAGGATTTTTATTTTTATTTTTGATATTTAATGTATATAATAATAAATACATTATTCATTAAAAATACTTAAAAATCTATAAGGGCATAAAAGTCTTTTTACTTCTAATAAGGACCAAACACGCAACAAAAACATACTATGAGGACTGTCCTAGGTAAAAACTAAAGTTAGGGACCAAAGACGTGGATTACCCCAAACCACATTGACCATTCGCGTAATTTACTCTAATTAATAAATGAAAATAAATAGTAAAAATATGTAGCGTTTTTAGTATTTTGTGAGAACTAGGAAAATTATTTTTTTACGGTCGAAAGAAGTGTTATGATTTAATCACTATAGAACACCGTTAAGTGGCTAAATCGATAGAATGATAAAATTACTATTTTTTTTTTTTTCTGTATTTTGCTCTTTCGAGTAAATATTTAGCACAAACCCATCGCAAGATTGTAACATGCTGATAGAACATAGTTGTTTCATGATGGTTTAATCACCACAAAAATATTTAAGTTGCTAAATTGATAAAATAATGAAAGTACAAGTGTTTTTTTGGTTGTATTTTTATAGCAAGATTGAAACATTTGTTTTGATGATGACTAAAACCCATATCCAAGATCCTATTTTTAAGTGAATTTTGTCGTTCAGGAAAGTCATCAAACAGAGAAGGGAGCATGTTGTCGGGTGAGTGGAAAAAAGAGGAAATTGTAGACTTTAAGTTAACTGATGCTAAAATAAGCCGCCCTCCCTCAAATTTCACCAAGAGGTCACCAATCCCGTCAATAGAAAGAGTACAGCAAGATGAGGTGAAGAGTGAGAGTGAGGGGCTTGAGACAATGAAACTTGCAGATCTTAAAGAATTAGCAAAATCTAGAGGAATCAAAGGCTATTCCAAATTGAAGAAAGCTCACCTCGTCGACTTGCTAAGGACTGTATGAATGGAAATTTGGCTGTTATGTTAAGTTTTCTTGATCTATTTTTGTCATTAGTTTTTTTTTTTTTTTTTTTACCTTTTTGTTGGATTTCTAGTTTGTTTTAAGGACTAAATGCAAGAATTTTCATTTACTTGTTGTCTATTATAGCATTTTTTTTCTTTCATTTCTTTCTATTACAGTGTTGCATATTTAATTTTTTTTATTAAGACATTATAATTCGAAATTTTGTTCTATAGGACATTATACTTTTAAAAATCTAGCTAATTATATAGTAGTGAAAATGCTATGTATTTGGATGATATTGGTAGAATTTGGTAGAATTTTTAAAGTTACAGTGATGTAATAGGAAAGTAGAATATTGAGTAAATTACATGAATGGTCCCTATGGTTTAGGGTAATTTGCGTGTTTGGTCCCTAACTAATTTTTTTTAATTCGGAAGGTCCCTATTGTTTGTTTTTGTTATGCGCTTGGTCCCTTTCTTACCTAAAAAGACTACTTTTCCTTTGATTTTTTAAATTATTTAAATAAACACACCTCCAACCCCACCCCCCTCACCTTACCTTATCTACCCCACCATTTGCCCTATTTAAATAATAATCTTTTTTGATAAGACAGAGATCAAACGCGTAACAAAAACAAAAATTGTAGGGACCAAGCGCGTAACAAAAACAAATAGTAGGGACCTTCCGAGTTAAAAAAATAAGTTAGGGACCAAACGCATAAATTACCCCAAACCATAGGGACCATTTGTGTAATTTACTCTAGAATATTATAATAAATAGAGTAAATTACACGATTCGTCCCTTGTAAATGTGCCAAAAGGCACGTTCAGTTCCTATTTTCAAAAATTAACTCGGATCGTCCCTGTAATGTTTTTTTCTCACTCGACCCGTCCCTGATGGACATAAAATGACTATGTTACCCTTTTCATTTCTTTTTTGATTTATTTTTTAGTTTGTTTATTATTGACAATTTAAAAGAAAAACAAAAAAAAAGGCCCACCACAGTCACACCCTTAACCTCTGCCTCCACCCACAACCTTCATCTTCATCGGTTCATCTTCATTCTTATATTACTGGAGCTATGGAGAGAGAGAGAGAGAGAGAGAGAGAGAGAGAGAGAGAGAGAGAGAGAGAGAGAGAGAGAGAGAGAGAGAGAGAGAGGATTGTTGTCGCCACCACCGTTGTCGGAGATACCGAGATAGAGAAGCCCATCGCTTCACTCTACATGTACAACACCATCGCCGGAGTTACTGGATCATCTTTGATTTGCAGGTTCGCTTACCACCATCTCCAACATCACCATTGTCTTCTCCGTTCGATTATCACCACTTGTGCGCCGCCATCTCGTGCAATTTAGGGTTTGCAGATCTACATTCGTGAAATAACTCATATTGCTTCTCTGTTCGTAGATCAGTACACTAGGGATTTGCACATTGTGGATTAAATTGCGCTTCTGGGTGGTGGTGTCGGAGAATTAAATCACACCCACTGCTGCCTTCCATCTTTCCTGAAATAAATTACACCCTCAGATCTAAGGTCACCTAGGGTTAAAGAAGAAGAAGAAGACAGAGGAGGTGAGGCGAGGTCTGGTCGGAGAAGAATTTGGTCTTTGAGATATATACCAGCCACAACCATCAACTCTCCTTTCTGAAAAGATTTCTGGGATTTGTTAATAGGAATTTGGGGGAGAAGATTTATTTTTCAAATCTCTTTCGGATGTAGGATTAGATTTAGGTTTGATTTTCGGGTTTAATTTCCAATTTATGTTTTTATTTTGGTGGTGAATGGTGGTGTTTGATAGAGGTGACTGGTGGCCAGAGATGGCTGATGGCTGGAGGTGGTTGGTTGCTGGAGATGACCGGTGGTCGGAGGTGGTCGATGGTTGGGGGTTGGAACTTGAAACCAGTTTAAGAAGAAGTTATTTTCTAGGAATTATAATAAATAAAAAATTAGATAAATTAAAAACAGTTGAAAAATAAATGAAAAAGAAAAAGAAAAGGGCAAATAGTCATTTTATGTCTGCGAGGGACGTAACGTGCAACTTTTAACGTTATGAAGGACGGTCCGAGTTAATTTTTAAAAATAGGACTAAATGCGCAATTTTACACTTGGACGAGGGACGAATCGTGTAATTTACTCTAATAAATAAACCAAGGAAAATTATCCCTTGTCAAAGATGCATTTTTTAGGGCTCGCCCACTATTATGTGTTTGCTACTTGTTATATACAAGGCTTGTACACATAGAATGTGTTGGTTATATATTAGTAGACTTAACAAATTTTTTAAAGTTATTTTTTATGATGAGGATGAACGGACCTTTAAGTCTTTTACATAGATGATTAGTTTTTTACATAGATGATTGATAGTGAGTTGTTATCACAATTTTGTTTCACATATTTTATGTTGTCCAATTGACATGAGTTCCACTTCAATGTACGTAAAATAAGCTACAATTTGTTGTCTTATATTGCATAACAAGCGGGCTATAGAAGTAATTGGTTTCATAATTATTGTTTTTTTTTTTTGGTTCTAAAAAACTTTGAACATGACTCTTTAAGGTTAAAATCCAATAAAGTTGTTTGCTATTATTTAAATTATTATTTGTACACAAATAGACCGTGATTATGTTTTTTAATTGGTTTGGATATAACTGCACATAAGTCATCGACAAAAAACAAAATAATGAATCTATAGTTAAACTTGCATTACAGACAACTTTTCTTTCTTTGGTGTTTTCACAAATTATTTGTGAACATTTAGAGTCATAGCACGTATAATTTGCAGTTTAAGGATTGATATACAACTATCAGATAAAAAATTTGTACGTTCTTTTAGCAATATTCTATCTATTTTTTATTTGTCAGACGAAAGATGCAAGTTGTAATTTATTTAGGACCAGAATATGCATCGCAACCAAAGTAGGTTCCTAATATTTACAGTGATATTTTATTTTCTACCAATTTATGCAACAATGTTTTAATCTTTTACAAAGTGACAGAATATTGCAACCACAGTTATAAACATTCCCAATATTTTCTCCATTGTTCTTGCATTATTTTGTTGCCATTAAAGATTTGGCAATGACAATGTGACCAATTTTTCCCAAATGGTAGTTTCTCTCATCCGACGAGTCCATTGGTATTCAGTCAGTTCCTTTATCCTCCTAATAGGCCACCAAGTACCTGATTTGACTCTCACAATGGAGGCGAGTAGTTACATATACAAAGGAGGGAACTAGTCTCTCCGAATGCTACATTTACATTTCTATAAATCATTAGTTCTACTTTCATTTTTAATAAAATCATTCAGTCAAAAGCTATGTACAATAATTCGTAGCAGAGCATTCGCCCGAGTTGACAAGATATGTGCCACACAAGATGAGGATTTGGAAGGCAATATTCAATCGGAAATCAGAGCTTTAAAGGAAGATTTTCAAACAGAAATCATAGCTTTTGAATAAGTTAATGGAATATCTGCTTAAAAACAAGAAGAATCAGCCAATAAAAGAGAGTTAATGAAGCAATATCAAAGGACGAGGAAGAATCAATAGTAGAGTTCAAATGCACAAAACAAAATCGTTCTTAGTAATCAAATTCTTAATCAATCTTAGTTAAGGTCGGTCTCGATCAAATTGCTAAATCGCAAATACAATGGCCAGGATCTGGGAGAGGGGTTGAGGAAGATGACAGTATCAAAATTCAAGGAGTTCTATTGGAACAGGAAACTCTGTTATTACCGTAGCGTTGTACTTTTAATTCTTATTAGAGCATTATACTTTAAAAAAAGAAAAATATATAATGTCAAAATAAAAAAATGAAAGTAAAACACTATAATTACTAACTAGGTAAATTTTACAAAGTACGATGTCTTAGTGAGAACAAAAACTTTATTTAATTAAAAATACTAGGTATATTTCTTGAAAAATGGAAATTGGTTTTAAAAAACAAAAGAAACGGCTAAAAAAGCAAACTAGGCAGATATTTCAATGTACGGTAGGTATCTTAATAAGAAAAATTGCATTTTGCCCTGCAACAGGAAGACATATTAGCAATGCAAGAAAAAAAAAACACATGATGAAATAACAAAATACTACTGAAAGGGTTAATGAGAAATAGATAAGACGAACATATTCCTTTGGAGGCCTGCCTAAACTTGTTTAAAGAAAGAAACAAACAACACAAGTGGTGGCTAAGGGAGGAGGGAGTCGTTCCCTCCCAACCCACCGAACCCACTATCACATCAATTTTTCTCTTTTATTTTTCTTCATCTTTTCGAACCCACAACACACGGAAATCCTATCTTTTTGAACCCACTCAATTAAAAAAAATACAAAACAACTAAGGTACAAGTTTTATACATGGTACAAGAAAAAATAAGAAAGAGAACGTAGAGAGAGATGATGAAGTGAGTTAGTGAAACCAATCAACCCACTCGTTGAAGCGGGAGTGGTACCGCCGATAACTCTATTGCTAATTAAGATTTTACATTTGATTGTTTTGTATTTTTTTTAATTGAGTGGGTTCAAAAAGATAGGATTTCCGTGTGTTGTGGGTTCGGAAAGATGAAGAAAAATAAAAGAGAAAAAGTGATGTGCCAGTGGGTTCAGTGGGTTGGGAGGGAATAAGGGAGGAAGGAGTCGTTCCCTCCCAACCCACCGAACCCACTGCCACATTAATTTTTCTCTTTTATTTTTCTTCATCTTTCCGAACCCACAACACACGGAATCCTATCTTTTTGAATTCACTCAACCCACTCAATTAAAAAAAAATACAAAACAACTAAGATACAAGTTTTAAAACACATGGTACAAGAGAAAATAAGAAAGAGAAAGTAGAGAGAGATGATGATGTGAGTTAGTGAAACCAATCAACCTACTCGTTGAAGCAGGAGTGGTACCGCCGATAACTCTATTGCTAATTAAGATTTTACATTTGATTGTTTTGTATTTTTTTTTAATTGAGTGGGTTGAGTGGGTTCAAAAAGATAGGATTTCCGTGTGTTGTGGGTTCGGAAAGATGAAGAAAAATAAAAAAGAAAAAGTGATGTGACAGTGAGTTCAGTGGGTTGGGAGGGAATGACTCCCTCCTCCCTAAAAGGGCAAACTCAACGGACCAAAAAAGAGGGAAGGGTTACTTGTAATGAAAGAAGGCTAAGCTAAGCTCCAATTTGTTGGGATTTATTAAGAATTACTCCCTCATATTTGACCTGGAACCACTTCATTGCATCATCCTTTGTAACTCTATGCTGAATACCAACACGTGCCTTGCACCTGCGACGACGCCCAACACGGTAGCCAGGGCGTTCTAGCACCACAAAGAAGTCCATACCATAGATACCCGTTGAAAGGTCATACCTATCATATTCATATTCTCCAATATTACTTAAACATATCATTTATCCAGACAACAATTGATAGGAAATTAAAAACAGGGCCTCTTACTTGATTCCAAGATCAATGTGTTCCTGAATACCAAACCCAAAGCATCCCGTGTCACAAAAAAAGAGCAATGACCTAGGCAGGAAAAATCTTAAAAGTTTATTGCACGAATAACTTATCCTTTTTAATAAAATGATATGAATTACTTCCTCAAAACTAGAAATATGGTGATTATGGTACTTGTATTACTAAATAATAGATAACATTGTGATGAAAAAAGAGTCGGTGTCAAATCAAATGCCTTGGCTGATTGCTTGTAGTTTATAACAAAGGACCATTCGTCCATCATATGAACCTCAACAGAAATCATAATGATTTCTTAATGTAAATTGAGCAGCAAAAAGGAAGTAGAAATAAGTTGTAATATATATATATATATATATATATATATATATATATATATATATATATATATATATATATATAACCCTTGGAAAAAACAGGCGATTGGCCACTCAATTGCCCCAGAACCTAATTAATTTTTCAGGAACAGCGAGTCAGAAAATGTTAGATGGATACAAAACGAGGGTGAAGACTGAAGAGTGACTGACCTTGGCGGCATGAGTGAGACGATCGCCACTTTCACCGACGGATATGCTGAGAACAAGTTTCTGAACCTTAATCTCCCTCATTGGATTCGCTTGCTTCCTCTTTCAAGCCTACAATACATTCCGTTCATTAAAATCAAAGTTTCTACGGAAGGAATTAAACATTTATTCGTCCTTACCATTGATTGTTGTTGTAAAAAGATGTGAGGCAGCGGCGGAAAGAAGAATAGAAGAGAAAAAGCGTCGGTAGAGGTACTGGTCAGAGACGATGAACAATGCCTGTCTGTTAAGTTTTGTTCGGACTGCGAAATGACAAATATACCCTTTACATAGGCAAAAATGGAAAAGAAATTCCGTTGCCGGGACTTGAACCCGGGTCTCTCGGGTGAGAGCCGAGTATCCTAACCAACTAGACTACAACGGATTTGTTGCTAAATTCATACATAAGTTATTTGTTTGTGGGAGCGATTAGTATGTAACATTTTTTTTTTCTAGTTATACAACTCTAAATAAAATTGTGTATGGAAAAAAAATGCTGTGTACGAATCAATTCCCTTTACTCAATGATTATAAAATATCAATATAATAACATATTTCATTTAAATAAGGCAATATGCAATTTGTAAGCATTTGAACATAGCTAGTACGACTAGGGCCGTAAACAAACCGTACGTTCGACAAACTGTTTGTGAACCGTTCGACGAGAAGTTTGTTTATTTAATAATTGAACGAACATGAACATAAATTCTCGTTCGTTTAGTTGAATGAACGAATATGAACAATGGTTTTGTTCGTTCAATTATGTTCGTGAACATTCGTTTATGTTGTTCGTTTATATTTGTTTATGTTGTTCGTTTATATTTGTTTAAGTTCATTCATTTTAGTTCATTTTATGTTTGTATATATGTTAATTGTGTTCAATTACATTACTATATTATATTTTTTTGTTTATGTTCATATATGTTCAATTATTTTTGTTTATCTTCATTCCTTTATGTTCGTTTAGCATGTTCACGAACATAAAACGAACAAACATGAACAATGTAATTTGTTAAATGAACGAACATGAACAATAAAACTTGTTCGCTTATCGATTTGTGTTTGTTTGTTTGTTCGGCTAACTTAAACGAACGAACATAAATAACCACCTTCATTCGTGTTCGTTCGGTTCGTTTACAGCCCTACATACGACTCCCAACTCATTTTTCTGTTTAGCCTAGATGTACACAAAGGGCTCGACTCGAATTCTTGGCAAACTTCAATGGGTTAAACTCAAAGATGACTCTATATTTATCAGTGTTGTAAAAATTTCGACTAGGTCCCGATTAATCTCCGATTAATCCCTAGGCGCTACACGAGTGACTAGAAGGCACCTAACAATTAATTTTTTCCTACACAATGAGCGAAATACAAACTATTTGAGGAATTATTATTGTTGTATTAATCATATTAATATATTTTGTTATGATATATGATATTAATTATATTTAATTCTTTAAAATTCAATGAATTAGCAATTGAGGGTCCCTGATTAATCTCATGATTAATCTCCGTTTAACTGATTAATCCCTGCATCGAGCGTTTTATACAACCTTGATATTTATAGACCTAACTCAAAGTATTTTAAAGCATTAAGTCCTGAGGAAAAAAAATAGAAAAAATGACATCGATGGTTTTCTACATATTTTCTAAGAGTTATTTACTATGTATAAAGCATAACATGAATAAGAAAACAATAATGGTAGTGCATGAACGTTAGTTTTCACATAATCATCCAGTGGTGTGTCTATGTTACAATTATTCAAGCTTTTTAGTTTGTATCGACACTAACTATATAGAAGTTATAACAGAACAAGAATAGAGTGCCTTTAATAATGTAAAATGGTGGCAAGATAAGCAACAAAAAGAGTTATTTAACGTTTTAGCCAAAATGCCACACAATATTTTAATAATCCAAGTTATTACCATAGCTTAAAGTTGTTTTCCTTTTAATGGCATGCTTATAAATTATGTTGGAGCAGGAAATGCTCTACAACGATGAATAATAGCCATGTTAGAAAATTTTCTTTGTGCTTGTAAGCTTCTCATATCTCCTATAAATAAAGATGGAATTGTCATTACTTTATGTACACCTCCAAAATATAGTCTCTTTAGTTAGATAGAGTGGTTGGAATCTCTTCCAAACCTTTGTTCTTCATTGTAATACTAGGTGTGAAACCCGAATGTTATACGGGTTTGATAAAACGAAAAAATTAAATATGAAAGTTTAAACAAAAATTTATTTAAATTTGGAATTTTAGATTTGAAATTTAAAATTTAAAATTTGAATTTAAAAGGAAACATATTAAATACTATATGAGTATTAATATTGTAATTTATTGGTTATTTTCAATTAAGGCAATTATTAATTGAGGTATAAATATGATGTGTTAATTAAGAAAAGATAAAAAAAATGAGAAAATGACAAATGAAAAAACATTTAATCAAAAATACCAAAAAATGACATGTGTCAAAGCTAATGAGGGAGTGACATGTGGCAAAAATTATTTTGATTTATTAGGGAGGATTTTGCTCTCACTATCTATATTATAATCAATTAAAATTTGAGATTTTATTATTTCCCGCAAGCCGATCATCTCATGGGATCCTACAAATTCAAGGAGAACTGAAATTGACGATGGGTTCCATTCAAATGTCGGTAGTGCTTAAAGACTACAACCACTCAATTACTAAGAGCTAAGAGGATGCAACTCTTGAATATCTTTGTGTTTTTAAAGAGTAACTTTATCAAGATCAAGTGGATCAAAAAACAGAAAATTCATAAGCATATTAAATACTATTATGAGATGGAGGGTATTTCGAAAACTCAAGTACCATCTCCAACCTCGAGTAGCCAAATGTCAAATACTACAACTATGATAACTTTAATTTTTTCAATTTACCTGTCGAGTCTTTGTAATTTATTAGATATGTTTGTGTTGAGGATATTATGTTGTGAAGAATCAAAATGCCAAAAGTATCTTTGAAGTGATGGTGATATCGAAGACTTTTCATGTAGTTTATATCGAAATATTTATTATTTCAATATATATTTTTATTTCATGTAGCGGTTTTGTGTGTACTTAAACGTCGAAGTCTACATGTATATTTTGTGATCACTTGAGGGACTAGGCATGTTGCCTATATATAATGTTGTAGGTTAGAGGGTCATTAACACTTTCCGCACATTTTACGTATTTCACTTTCTCTCACTTGTTTTGTACTCTAACTTCCTCCTTGATCTATCATTGAGCTGAAAATAATTATTTACATCATGTATTCTTACATTTCATCATGTCTTGATTCGTATAATTGATTTCATAACTCTTCAAGTTGTATTAGAGCAAGAATCTTTCAACTTTTTCGGAGAAATTCTTTCGTTTTCATTTTTAGATATGAAATTATTCTTAGATCTAATTTCCGAACTTGAAACATGTTTCTTCGAATTTTTTTTGTGATTTTTGATTTTGTCATTTGCTCTATTTGTTAGGAATAATGACAAGATGACGAATGCGGAATCTGAAGAACAATCATGAATCAATCACCATAATATGCAAGTAATATGACAAAGGTTTTGTTTCTTATTGACCTGGAATGGAACGTACAAAGAAACCCTTTTTTGGGAAAAAGCTTACATCACAAGCTAACGTAATGATTATTTATAGGGAAAATAAAACATTTACCAAAAATACAAAACCCTAAAAGGGCTTCCCTAAATAACCAAAAATGCCAAAGCAGTTTCAACATCTCAAATACTCAACAATCTCCCCCTAGATGTTGAAACTGATGAAGATCACGATTTCCGATCTTCTTGGCATTTCTCCCCCTAAATTGTGATATTCATCATAACATGGGGTCTTCAAAGCGAGAGAAACAAATATCATCTTCCAAATGCGAACTCCCCCTTGAATAATCAACACTTCCCTTTAAATCTTCAACAAATACCATGGAGAGAATCCGGAAAGTTAAGAAGAATCACTAACAACCTACGCTATCTCAAAGAATAAGTCCGCGTATAACATACTCTTTCATAAGGAGCGAGTTTGCCAAAATGGATCTTCAAAATCCATCAGACTTGAAGAAATTATCTTCAAAAATCCGTGCAAATAAGATTTAACTCTGAAATGTTGCACTTTTGTACTCAAACATTCTCTATAACACCATAATCTTCAATGAATCATCGAAAAGTCGGTAAAATCTGGAAATAACCACCGGATAAAATCTTTAACCGACGTATAAACACCAAAATTCAAAATTTCTCCGAAGCTCGGAATGATTCGGAAGTGAATAGTAAATTCCGAAATGAACGTTGACATATCAATTCCGAACATTTTTTTTTCGATTTTTTTAGGCTCCAAAATTTGAATTCCAAAATTGTGACTCCGAGTGGTTCCAACGTTCGCAACATTTCGGAGGAGTTCGTCACAAAAAAAATTCTTGACTCCGAAATCCTGTTCGGATCTAAGATAAAGATTAATTTCGAGACCAAAAATTGCAAGATGTGATTTCGGAACACAAAATTTTATAATTCCGAGACGTACACCTTCTTCAAAATGACTTTCTGATTTCTTTTTTGGAAACGACAACACTTTTATTAACCACTGCACAGAAAGAAACTATGCAGGGCAAAACAAAACCAAATTAAATAATATTGAAGGGAAGACAACACCAATCAATCCACCTACAATTCCCAAAACGCCCTTGTAACATTCCATTTTTCAAGTAGCTTCAAATTCATCCCTCGGATTTGAATTATATCACTTTTGGCCCTTGGGTTTGGAAGGAAGTGGAAAGAAAGGACCAAGCTTGAATAGGTGGCACTGGGTGAGTACGCCCAACGTAGAAGGTCGAGTGGTCGCGGGTGTTGGAGGCGTACGCCCAACGTACGAGATGTACGCCCAACATACGCTCAGTGACGCAAAACCCTAATTTTAGGGTCCATCACTATATAAAGAACATTATGGCTCAAACCCTAGCCTCTTTATCAGCCACCCCAACCTCAGAGAAACCCTAAAGCGTCTCATCCTTTCATCTTTGGGTGATCTGGACCTTGAGAAGCTCATTTTGGTGGTGTAAGCTTGGAAGAGGAAAAGAAGAAGTTGGCAAGGAAGAACTTGGGAAGTTGGAGCTCATAGATCTGGGATAGCATCATCCTCTGGAACTCTTTGGAGGTATAAAGTTCATAACTTTCCTCAAGAATTCTTAGATCTTGTGTAGCTTGATTTTGAAGTCATTTTGGTC